GATGGAATGGTAGTTAATAGATGTCTGTAATTCCATTATACTAGAAGTGCAAGGGAAACCTCATTTAATGTTGAAAGATTCTCATTTTTCCAGAGCTGTAATGCAGCGTGCAGTTAAAATTAGGCTGTCTCGTTAATTGTCAAAGTGTATGGTGAGAATTCCTGCAGCCAGCTTCAGTGCAGGATTAGATATGCCTCTGCAGGAGAGACCTTCCAGAAAGACCCAAGGTGGGAGAGCAGCTCCATCAGGGTGCCTTTGATACAATCTGTCCCTGAAGAAGAAGGGGTCCTGTGGGTAGAGGAAAGCGTGTGGGGCAAGTCTTATCCTCTCCCTCTCTGCTCACCCTTGGTGGGAGACCCCAGACTGCTGTCTGTGGAACGCTCCAGTGCGAAATATGTCCTGCATCAGATGGCTATGAAATAAGCTCCCCTTGTGAAGGATGATGAGTATTTATTCCCTCTCCCTGATACTTGCCTCAATTCCTGAGTTTAGCTGTCCTGGGCAGGGGTAAAGAATGAGCAGAATCAACCCAGCCTCTAATCCTCAAGACAGTATGGTTATTCAGGAACTAGGATCCCATAAACCTTCTCATGCCTACGGGTTGTAGCTTATAGAGAAATTAGTTTAAATGAACATAGCAAGGTTGAATGCTCTTGAATGTACAAAAGAAAGCAGTAAGAAATCTCTGGGAAATATCTTTTTCTCATCTCTTTACCACTTTTGCCTGTCTCCTTCTCAGTGTCAGAAACTTGTCCTTCAAAAATCACCCACTGAGGAAAGCAGATTCTTCTGCAGGATGTGAAGGGAAAACATGAGGAAAGGGTGAGTGAGAGTTTTGCTTTTCCTCTTACAGATCAAAGCAGTATAGCATATGCCAGGATAGCAAGTCAAGCTGTTGAGGACTTTCCACAGGACCCCTACCAGCTTTTATTTAAAAACAGTAAAAATTTTTATTTGGAAGGACTACAAAAGCTTTCCTGAGGGTTCATTAATTAAGTTTAACTGTCCAATTTGAATGTGAGCACTAGCGCAGAATCTCAGCTGAAAGCTCCGAGTTCCCAAACATTGAGTAACCTAAGGAATGTGAATTAACACAAACATAACCTTATCCCGCTGGGGAGGAGGAGGAGGAGGAAGGGGGACAAATATGTTAGATACCTGCCTGCCAAACTCCCCAGGAAGTCAGTGGGAGCTTCGCTAGTGGAAGAATAGCATGACCAGACATAAATATAAAGGAGAGAGGATGCCAAGAAAGTATTTTTCAAGCATTTGTGTACTTAGGACCAATGAAGTCTAGTAAGTGCAGAGGGCAGGAACTCTACTACAGCGTAACTCTCGGATATGCTGCTTTAGCGTACCTCTGTCGCTTTCTGTGGGACTCTATTTCTCCCCTTGTACCTACTTATGAAAAATAAATTTGCAAAGTTTTCTGATGACGCAAAAAAGACAGTTCTATGAGCTTTAAAGAAATGTCTCGCCCTGTGTGAGATATCCATTGACATGCAGTGATATTTAGCTGCCTGATCAGATCCTTTTGACAATACCCCTGGATGTCTGCCTATCTACATACACACCCAGTATCTCTACATACCAGATCTTTTCCATCACCTTGTCTGTTACTCTGTTCAGACCTCCAGGAACCCAACTTTGCTTCTGGTATCCAAATGTGGATTCTTTAAGTTTAGGAAAAGTACAACACCTTTATTTTACTAAGGGTAGGTGTGTAAGGAAATCTGTGATTTGAAACAAGCTACCTTTTGTTATTACAGATATAGAAAATGATGCAATTTTTTGGAAGTGTTCCATTTTTTTTAGAAATAACTACATTATTTAAGAAATTAGTGCGTTGAAAACTAGAATTTAATTAAAATCAGCCCCTATTGTTTTAACAAGAAACTGTTGACTATGTTGCACCGAAAGACAAAAGATTAGTGACCAGGAGCTTTGCTTTGTCAAAGTAAGTTTAGAAATAAACAAAATTTGCAGAGTTAGCTGATTCTGCCTGACATACACAAGTGCACTTCCAATCTTCTCTGGCTGTCTACAATGAGATCAGATGTAATTTAGTATGAGTCAGGTGCGAGTGAAGCAAAACAGTCAAATGTACTTGTATTTGCAAGCAGTGTCCATCAAAATCCTCCAAGAATGGCTGGATTTGAGTAAATGCTGAGCTTTTCATAGACAGTTCCTAAACATTCACTGAATTAGCTCACCAGATGGAGCCCGGAGCAATGTTGCTTTATACAGATACGCAGGTTTTCATTTAATCTTAATATTCATAGACTGTATTTCTTTTACTTGCCCAAGTGTAACAATATAATGGTTATGTAAACTAATGCTTACATTACGATGCTATTTTGACATGCATTTTGGTGCCGTATGTAAACACCAAACATATGTAATAACCACCCTTAATACAGGTCTCAGTTCCATTTAAGAAGAGAATTTTTTGTGATTTTTTGTGGACAAAATGACCATGTAAATTTACACTTTTGCATAACTGAAATACAGTTTGTAATTGAAAGTAGTGTACACAATTAAAAGTGAGTTAACAGTGGATTTGTTGCCTGACTCTAATAATGATTGCTTTAATATACCCTTCACTTGTTAATGATGCTATCAATTATTTTACTGTAAATTAGCTATTGTGAGTTTGAGGTCTTTTTGCAATGTCTGTGTTAGGTTACAGGACAATAAATCAAACTCCCATCTCCTTTTACATTCATAACCATAACGTATGGCTTTTATTAGAAAATGTTAAGTGTCTTATAATGTCTTCTTAATGGACAGTGTGTGCATGTGTTGATGATGAAAGCCATCCTCTTTCATGCAAAATATTAATGCATATGGCCTACGTCTCCATAGATACAAGTTAAAGAATCATATTTAACCCACAAAATATTCAGTATACACTTTGCCCAGAATAAATATTTATCTAGTTGAACAACCCTTTAAGGAAAGAACTAGTTAGAGGTCAATCAGGAGCTGAAAATTCTAACAGGTATGTACATGTGATTGTGAATAAATGGTATGTAATTACTGCAAAAAAACACAAACAAAGAAACCCAAACCACTTTATAAAACATCTATTGCTAAATGAAAATATCCTTAGAGAATGAGAAAATGGAATCTATATCCTCCTAGAAATCCAGTTTGTGCATCACAAAGACTCCTAATATTGGTTAGAGATTTTTGTCCTTCCACCTAAAATATCATAACACCTCTGAGCAAGAGGATGTTTTAGCATCTGTATCCTTTTCCTTGGGACAACATTATCCCTTTGACTTTTGGACCACTCCACAAAATCTTGAACAAGCACACTGCTTTGACTTGAAATGTGTTTTATCAACAGATTCCTGGGTACCAGAGAGATCTGCTATTCAAATCAACGCCTGCTAGCACTGGGCTTGATTAATGGAAACCAAGCATTTTGAAGGATACCCACCAGCCTTCCCTCTCTGTTTCCATGTTCCTTTGGCAGAAATCAGGGCTTTGAAAGCTGCAATTCAACAGCAACCTCTTTTCATCTTATGGTAAATATTTTATTATTGCTTTATCCCCCATGCTGTTTAAAGAAATTCATTTAAAACATGAACTCCTTTGTTCAGGGAAGAAGTCTCCAAAGGGTATGCAAACAAGAATCGTTAGAAATGCAGCAAGATGTAACTCCAGGCTCTGCTCCAGCTTCCCCCATTCATTCAGTTTGCAGACCTGGCGTCTCCCTGCTGGAGATCTCTGCTCAGACGGAAAGTCTCCAGCAGCTGCTATTCCACCACCCATTCATACATGACCAGCTCCCCTCTCCCTGCATTTCCACTTCTCTTTCCTTCATCCATCCAATTTTCTCCCTAATCTGATCTCACTTCTTTGATCCTCCTCAGGAACACTGATCATCCTCCCCCACCAAAGCACCACTCATCCCTACCGAGGGCTGGCAACAATTAAGCTGTAACAAAGGTACATTTAAGGGAGGAATAAAACCTGTGCAAACGAATTTCTTTGTGAAGGCACTATCCTTCATCTGTTTTTCTGCTTAATCAATATGGGTGTCTTGGGGATTAATCCTGCTGCTGTTCCTGAAGTAAATGTGTTCATTACTTTTAATTTCAGGAGCAGAATCAGGCCCTAATTAATGTAATTATCCTCATATGTCATAGCATGAAAGGTGTCTACTTAAAGGAGTCAGGCAACTGTTACAGACCATCCTTATCCCCAGCTATGCTGTGAACTGCACCAGTGTGCATTCTCTTTCCAAAACAACTGCAGGCACCACGAGGGGAGGAGTTGTCCTTCAGTACCAAGCAAGAAAGCTGTCAAACAGTGTCCCTTCAACATCAGTGAAACCCTCTCCTCTGATTAATACTTTGCATTTTCCACAAGGGAAAACGACAGAGCGAGGAGGTAAGTGGGCAACTGAATTACCCATTCGCGGAGAAGCATGATCATAAATATTTAACTTGCTATGTATGAGAAAAGAGAAAGGAACAGACTTCCTTTCCAGTCCAGTCTGAGAAACTCTCCAATCCCCTGGTCCTCATGGGACTGCCTGCTCCCATGATCATTTCTCCACCTCGTAAAGGGATTAACCATTAGCTCATCAGAGGGCTGGAGAAGGTGTCTCTCTTTACTGAGGGATAGCTCACTAAAAATCTATGCACAGAGGGAAATTACCTGGTTTAATGGAGATCTCCCTGGCCCTTGAATGGGACCCTGCCCCAAGCTGTGGAGTTTTAGGAGCCTGTTAGAAAATAAGGGTCTCTGGACTCCCACATATGAGTACACAAGCTCATGCCTTCGTGTCCACTCGTGCCACATGCATGAGGCCTGCTTGAGAGCGTGGGTTACAGCCCCGTAGCCCCTGCATGATTTTTGTATGGCCACACACAGGGATGGCTGCTCTGCTCTGACAGAGGAGATAACCCTGATGATGCTGGGAGGAAGTGGGACTGCAGGGAGGTTCGAGTGTTTTGTTTGATGAGGGTGCTGATTGCATAGCTTACCCTTGCATATCTGGAGGAGTAGGGATCCTCAAAGAGGGCCCAGATGCGGGGCTGCCACCGTCTCCAGAAGCCCCCAGACCTGCCATCTGGGGAGTCACTAAGTGCTAGGCGTTTTGTCATCTCCAGCTCATCTTCACCATCACCAGAGTCTCCAGTGCCATCTATGTCTCCGTCCTCAGCACTGCTATCCAGGGGCGCCCCACCAAAGCTGTCCAGAGCCTCTTCGGCGTCGCGGTGCTGCCGGTAGGTCATCCAACAGCAGGGCTCCACATCGGTCTCATCGATGCCCCAGAAGGCCAGCTCCTCCTCATACAGGGGCCCGCACACGTCCGCGGGGCAGTGCAGCTTGCCAGTGCGGTAATAATTCAGGATGTGGGCGAAGACGCCCGGGTGCCGGTCGAAGAAAAACTCATCCGTGCGGGGGTCATAGTCGAAGTGGCTGTGGGCATCGGGCTCAGCGATCCAGGCCAGCCGCGTGCCGGGCAGGGTGCGCAGGGTGCTGCGGTAAGTCTGGTGCCTAGTCCCTCCCACGTTGATCACAATGCGGTCGCTCTCGTCGCCCTGGCCCATCTCGTCTCTTATTAGGCATGTCGCAGACTCATCCAAGCAAGCACGGCAGGCAGCAAGCCCGTAAGGCTTCTCGGCGGCAGTCGGTGCCTAAGCCGAGCCCCGCTCCGGGCCCGCGGGGGCGAGGGGCCCCGGCCAGCCCCGCTCCCCCGGGGCCGCTGCGAGGCGATGCCGGTGGCTCCTGGAGCTGCGCCGCCTCCGTCTGGAGTCAGACGCTCGGGGTCCGCGGCAGCTGCAGCCGCGGCGGAGGGGCAGGGGCAGGGGGGGCCA